ACTTTTCTTGGTGGGAATAGTGCTGTTTTTTGATGAACCTGTGAACAGTAGTAACGCCAAAATAACAGTAGTGTTACTAGTACTAGTAGTAGTAGTAGTAGTAGTAGTAGTAGTACTAGTACTAGTGCTAGTAGTTGTAGTAGTTCCAGCAATTGTAGGAGTAGCAGTAGCAGTAGATGCAGCAGTAGCAGCACATCAGAAGTAAAAGTAGTATGGTACGTAGTAGTACAGTAGTACCGTCGCCGTGCAGCAGTAGTACTGTAGTAGTACAGTGGTACAAGAGCAAGACAAGACGTAGTAGTACTACAGTGGTGCTGGTTCGGGGGTTAGGGGGCCCCAAAACCTCGAAACCAAACCTGGATCACGCCAAGATAACCACCAAGTCTAAAATAACCTTCAGTTTGAACGGTTTTCCCTGCATCATGCACTCCCCGCCCACCTATCCACTACAGTTCATTAGCACAGGAATATGCAACGACAAATCCGTGCAGTGTCTTGCTGCACTTGTATTCGCAGACATAGATACACGTGTAATTAATTACCGCTGTGCGACAAGAGAGCATGCCTGTGGACAAGCATTGTAATGCAGGATGCATTGTAATGCAGGACATGCATACATGCAGCGGGCGAATGGGAAATGCACAATTTTTCCCTTTCAAATCGCATGAAACACCACAGCAGAGCAGACAGCGAAGGCCTCATGCTGATGACGAAGCCGCACCAGCCTCTGCGAAAAATAGGCTCAAACGCATGCAGCATCAACACTCAGCAGTATTCCACACAAGCCGTATACCAGTCCAACTATGGCCTGAAGTCTCAGCTTCAGCCGGCACCTCCCATCCCACTCGTAAATAGTCTCCCCGGCTCCGCAGCATTGCATCCCCAGTTCCCTTCAGATCCCTCGTGGCTACAGTACCGGGAGTCGAGCTCCCCTTCCACGCTTCGGTAGATCCGCTGCGCCTGCAAACTTCTAGTTCGAGAGGGCTGCGCTGGGCGTAGGGTTTTCATCATGTCACAGCTGTTGCTTACGCCATCGGAGAAAATCGGACTTCAACCACGGCAACTCTGAGAAGCTCCTGGCTATGCTCCTGTCCGCAGGATCTTTTCAGAAGAAAGTTCAAGCGCATAGCTATGAAGTTCATAGTGCAAAGCATCAACAGCCTTTGCAATGTCCCGGAGAACATGTCAATAGTTAGGCAGATGTCAAGTCGTTATGGCGGTGCACTCCCTAAAGAAGGTTTGCTTGCGCAGTATCGTCTCGCCCCCCTGCTGTCAGTTTCGAAGTAAAGGAGTGGCAGCAATACCTGCAACACTTCTGTTGATCTGAAGACAGATACTTTAGAAATCCAAGGCTTTGGATTCTGGCTCCACGCCTGATTCTGCTGCTGCTGCTCCTGCTGATCTGGCGAGGAGGTCCTGCGCGGTAAAGGGGCTCGTGCAACTTGTCTTGACCAACTTTGCTCTCGGTAGCTGCATCGATGAGGCTGCCTAAAGAGACCCCTGAACAAATGAGCAGAACTTCAAGCGAATTCCCTGCAGAGGTCAATCTGCGGTCGTGGTAACATGGATCGGCTGTGGTCGTGAGTCGTACGCTCTTGAGACTGGTCAAGCAATGCAGGCACCAACATCGCTTTTCTGTCTGCTCGCTTACCGAATATTCACACCCCTTTCAAAGTGTCGACTGCTTCTGGCCGAAAATCTGGTACTGCAAAAACCTCTAGCTGGGTGCATAGCCGAGCAGCACACATCTAGAATATCTCATTCAGCTGGAACTTGGAAGGCCAGAGGTCCTTCCAGCATCTGCGACATCTGTTGAAATGTCGCTGACCTGACGAGACTTTCCACAGTTTGGGAAGCTAGCTAGCGTGATTGGGGCAAGGTCCGGATGTAAAGAGCCACTGAAATAACATCCGTTCAGACTGCACTGTTCGAGCCGGAGTCACTAACGGGCCACAGCACCCAATGACAAGATAACCCAGACGGCGGGATCCGCTGGCATGGCTCGAAAACTGAGCCGCTTTCAAACAGTCTTTCGTCTCGCGTGCTGTTTGAGAGGTTTTGATGAGGGATGTCGCGTTGTCGGACTTCCTCATCCTCACTCGAAGCATAAACCCCCAGTAATGGCCGCTCACGACGACGAGGCTCTTCCCGAAGCTTTCCTGAAATCGTAAAACTTCAGCCTAATCCCTCAAGGATAAGATACCACAAATACCCTACTACAGGTAAGCCACGCTGAAGCGAAGCTGCAACCCTTTGTCCCTTCCTCCTGATACTAAACCGCCTCCGCGGACCGCACAAGTTGCTTCTGGGCCCCTTACCCGCATCAGGCGCCTTGCATGAGCAAGCAAGGACCACCAAACGCTACTTTCGAAATTTCTCTAATGTGTCTGTGTCTATCTCTGCTTTGTGTGTATGATGTGCATGCACTATGTTGTTGACAGCGCAATAGCTTTGATAAGCACAATCATAGATTTTTCTACGGAAGAATGCAGAAGTGATTTTCCTACGAGTACGAGCAAGACCACTAAGTATATGTGTAGGCCCTATAATATGCATGCACATGTCCATACCGACATACTTTCCTACCTGCGTACATTCCTGACATCACGCACGTGAAGGTGTCTGCTTGTGTGTGTGTGTGCGCGTGCACGACCGTGCGTGCAAAGTTTCCACATGCATAGCCAGTAACCACATTCGCATAAAAAGCTGCGCGAAGGATGAAGGATAAAGGAAGGTACCAAAGGAACATGCGCAACGATCCAATCAACTCAAACCTACAAGTAAGAGCTGGCACACGCAGTTCTACACAAAATAAGGCTTATTGAAAAAGTATATACACATGCGCACACACACATGTACACATATGCAGTATGCATAAATGCACACATGCATACACACACACACATCGATAGTCAGAGGATGTCTGAAATACGTACATATGCATGCAGATTGAAGTGATTAGAGAGAACAGCTTCGTTCTCACTCCAATGCCTCACTGTACGTGCACTTTCAACCGAAAAACCGACAGAGTGCCGGATCCGGCATTGACCGCACTCATCTCAGAAAGCTGTTACAAGTGATTGCTCCTGCAACTAGGCCAGTATCCCAAAGAGAACGGACGCTTTGCTCGAGGAGTCTCTACTGCAAAACCTATTTGAAGCTTACCCATAGGCCCCATAGCTTGTTGGGTTACCTTATAGGATTCTATATATGAACCCCAAAAAGGAACTACTTTAGGGCCCATGGGTAGCGATGACCCTTAGAACAAGCTCACGCCTCGATCAGCAAAGAAATCCCCTCTGGACCTCCTGCCTGCATCTAGGCACCCAGCAGAAGAACATAGGAGCACACGGAGGATTCCAAAAAATCCCTAAACTCGCCTCCTACTACTACTACTACTACTACTACTACTACTACTTGGTAATAACTACAAAGCTCCTCTCTGAAGAAAGGTCTCCTGGCCTGATCTCTTCGCAAAGACCATCGGCCTCGGCCTGCGCCGACTCGAGCAGCCAGCCTGAGTCCCGAAGGAACCCTTGAGTCAGTAGAGTCTGGCATAAGAGTATTTAATAGTAGAGTATAGCATAGTATAGCATAGTTTGTATAATTTGTATAGTATGGAGTAGAGCAGAGTAGAGCAGAGTAGAGTATAGTATAGTATCATATAGTCCGCACACTCGGCGCCTCTGTGGCTCCGGACTCAAGGTATGGATGGTATTGCGTTCGATGCTTGCCGCTGCAGACAAACTGGTAACTTTTTCTCCTTCGCCGGCCATGCTTCACTTCGGCAGGCCACGGGAAATCCGCCAATTCTGCGAAGCCCACATCGACTCTGAACACGATTAGCACCGAAGCGCAGGAGAAAACCGAGACGATAACTTCGACTGTGATGCAACAAACTTCAAACTGACAGGTGGGATCACAGTACCAGCGCTGCCCTACCGAAGGCCACGCGAATCCATGGTCGACAGCCACGGTCTTTTGGCCTTAGCCACAAACATGCCAGGAAGATTAAAGAGTGTTAGGTTCGAGCGGTTGACAATGATGAGTATCAGCACGATGCATAAGAGGTATTATTCTCCCTAAACCCTAAACCGTAAACCCCTATAAACCCTAAAACCTAAACCCTAAACCCACTGACATATTATATACTTACCCGCCGAGGTGCCAAGCCCTCCTCGTTGGGGTAGGGTGCAGTGTCGCTGAACCAGCCGAAGATCGAAAAGCGCGGCGGGCAGCCTAAGCTTTGACGTGAGCAGAGCATGGGGGGACTGGCTGGCCAAGTTTCTTCGTCTCAAATTGGCCGGGCAATCTGATATATATATATATACACATATACATATATATATACACACACACACATATATATATATATATATATATTCATGCCCAGCTGCCTGCAGCCAGCTCCTCGACTTGATGGACACGGGGGACCTCCATCAAGTTCAACAAGGGTGCTTGGTTGAAGACTCCTGGGGTGTTGTGTGCAACTAGGGCGTTTCAGCATAGCCCTCAGGACTTGCGAAGATTCAGCAGTCCAAGACTACATGATCTCAACGGAACTTATGATTCGCCGATGAGGCCAATCAGCGGCACCGTTGGCGAATCACGCAATATTCTCCTTGCCGAGGAGAGTATGCCGTAAAACCAGGGCAGGAAACTGCAATCAAAACAAAAACTCATCTATTTGCCCGAAAAGAGCCGGTCAGACTCTCAGACCGACAGGAAGCACGCCACGATAGCCAAGCAAAAGATTCGTTGAACAGTGCCCCAATCCCGAGGCCTTAAGAACTGCAACATGCATCGCCACACTAACTGCTCCTCACAGCTTTGGGACCGCCCATTTCCCACTTTGACCCTTTTATAATATTCGTTGCATGTTAGCACCAAATCGCCCAAATCCTTAAAGCCCTACGACCGTTGAAACCGTAAGTCCTGTAACCCAGAGCCCCGTAAGCCCTTGATCACTCTCTGGCACACCAGAAAGGCAACGAGGGAATTGAAGCGCGGCAAGAGTTGCCTGGGCCCGGGCGTATCTAAAAAAGCTTGAGGATTGAAAGGGGTCTGTGCAGTTTTGGAGATCGTAGGGTGTATCGGGCCTCCAGCGTTTGAGAGGTAGAGGGGCTTACAGCCCTAAAGCCAGAAAAGCCGTAACCAAAACAGCCCAAAACGCTTTAAGCCCGGGTGAGGGCCTGTAGCTGTAGAAGATTATAGGGCCTGTGGCGCCTCCGGGCCACACAGCTTGGACTTAAAATACCCCTTCTGTAAACCGAGCTGCTTGGTCTCTCCGTGGAGGTCCAACAACGCCCCGCCATAGTCCTTCGTATCGGAGCGATGGGGGCAGCACGGCTTCAGAGTGCAAGGAACCTGTGGTTAAGTGCTGCAGAATGCATTTCTCCCAGCAAGAGACCCAGAAGCGATGGAATAACACACAGCTTGGACCGATTTGGTGTTTTTCGGAGACGGAAGAAACTGCTTAATTATGAGCATTGCCAACCGCAGACCATGTCCACTCGGCATGTCGCAGTAAGCACACAGGAACACACAGGCTTGCGTGGCTGCGTTGTTTTCGGCTTGGTTCTTAAGTCGTTGCGTCGAACCGTTACGTTCTCCCCCTGCAGCAGCAACTCTCACTAACAGCTATGCTCAAGTGAAAAGACTGCTGCAATCTCGCGCCACCCCCCAAGATGGATGGCTGTAAATCGCGGACGCCAGTTCCAGTTTCCACAGTCACACGCCTGCGCCCGCGAACACCTTCCTTGCGCTCTCGGGAGCCCGTGAGCCGAAACTTAGTCACCGTTCCTTCGCTTTACAGAATGTAGACCACATAAGCCTGTCCGCTGTTGTGGAAGTTGGGTGTCGGATTGCTCGTGGGGGTGCCCTAAGCGGCGCTGTGAATACAACCAACACAACTAACGAGTAGTGTATTTTTTTTCTTGCACTTACCGTGTGTAGGGCATTAAATATCTGTATAGGTGTATATATGCACCTGCTCCTTTTGTATATTATGCGTCATCAAAGACCTTCTACCCGCACGAACGCCCACATTCATCTTCGAGCTGTAATTCTTGACGTTTTTCCGAGGAAGTGGGACTCGGGCAACGAGATAAAGGGCGTTGCGTGCGCAAGTCAGAGAAAGGCACAGATAAATGGAAATTTAAACAGAGCGAGCTCAATGAAAGACATGTATGGACACTATATACCATAAAGCGCTGGAATGTTTCTTGCTCTTTGTAATGACGATACCCTCGAACACTGGACACCCTAAACTTTCATGTCAACATTCCTTGAACATCCCAAGCCGAAGAGGGTCATCACAGAAGTCCTGACGCCAGTCTTTGGTCAGGTAGTATATGACCGCGATCTTGCGGAAGAGCAGCTGGCCAGCTGGATACTCCTGAAATTGACTGCGAGGAGGATGGGGTAGTGAGGTTAGGAGGCCCAAGGTCGGTGTACTGCACGGCTATTCTCGGCAGCTGCTTAGGTTCAGTGGCGCGTTGATATTCATGATCCGGGTCATGGGACATCCATCGCCGAGATAGTGGGTGCAAGACGGCACAGAGACTTGAACAGGCAGAGGAATACTGAAACAGAAATCAAGATAACGTTTCGAGGAGGCGGTCCTTGCTGCGGTTGGGGTCCGTAGGGGGTACCCGGAAGTAGTTGCTGTCGTCGTGGGCGCTGAGGTTTCCGCTGGTCTCGTATTTGGCTGCCTGACATGCAGGGCTCCTGGAATGCCAAGGCTGCGCAGACCCAAGGGATTGATTTCAGCCCATGGGGTTCCAGACGCGAAGGAAAGCTGCTCATCCGGGCCTCTCAGAAGCTACTGGGGATGTCGCTTCTGACCCAGAGCCTGGAAGCTGGGGAAGAAGCCAGATCCGATGGACTGGATCTCGCGGATAGTTTCATCCAGCTTGTCGCCGTCATACCTGTCCCACAAGTCTCCGTTGGCCACAGTTTGGGAGGCGGAGTTTGTAAGGACTCTTGCTGCGAACCTGCATAGTCAACTCGTCGGGAAAAGTCTGTGAACCCGAGGTCAAGTAAAGCACTACCAACCCAGCAGAAACTTGCTTTCTGAGAAACTTATTTCCAGGCCGAGGTGGCGCGCAGCCCTAAAAAGCCGATACGACGTGACACCGGAATGCCAAGGCCTGGAGCTCTCAAGTCGGAGGCCCCCCAAAGGAAGGTCGAGAGCCCGACACAACCCCGCTTCGGCGCCTGTAGAACCAGTGGCTGGCGCTCTTGTCGCCATACTGTCCCTTGTCATCATAGAGGGAGGAGTTGGACTCGGACCACTCGCCAGGTTGCAGGGACTGCCTTCAGGCCCGGCAGGTGCAGAGAGTTCGGCCAAGGGAGAGCGAGGCGTGTGGGCCTGAAGACTTCTACTCATCGTGACGATGGCAGCGACCCCCATGAATGATGACGACGATGATGATACTGTGGATACTCTTCGAGATGTCGAATGTTCTTTGTAGCGTAGGCGCTGCATCGTACTTCGTAGTAGTGGTGATGATATGTACCAGGCCAGTGCTGGCAGTGGTAGCTGTGGTAGTGGCAGTGGTAGCCTTGGTAGTCGTCCTCGTAATGGTAGCAGCAGCAGGAGCAGCAGCAGCAGCAGTAGCAGTAGCAGTAGCAGTAGCAGTAGTAGTAGTAGTAGAAGTAGAAGTAGAAGTAGAAGTAGAAGTAGAAGTAGAAGTAGAGGTAGTAGTCGTCGTCGTCGTATTAGTCGTAGT